GGTTATCTTTCTTTTCCCTCCCAGCTAGGGTCAAGGTAGCAGCCTGCACAAATCAGTTGTATAAAGTGTTTAATTATCTTGTGTTTGAGACCTTCGAACATAATAATCATGTGCTCCTACCCCATATGTTTCGGCCAGTCCCTCCTGCCGCTTTGTTAAAAAACTTTATTATGTTTAAGTTTGTTTTAGTTTACAGTGCACGGATCACACTGCTATCAAGATGGTTTCACAGGAAACATACTAATAATGTTTTGTCTTCATCAATCTTCAAACCGGGGGTGCAGAGGCGGTCCGAGAAACGGGTTCAATCAGATCTACTGCAAGGGGAACCATTAATATGTTATTCTAAAACCGTTCACATGAAATTTGTAATGTCCATTCGGCATTCTACATGAATAAAACTGTGCGCTAGCAAGAAAAAGATATCTTGTCAATGGTGCATAAATTCACACACGTCTCAGGAGCCCCAATGACTTCGACAGCGACCCAAAGAAGGGCAATCTTCCACTCCATCCATCTCGTTTCACTGTGATTTGGTGCCAAAGTCTTTATGTCATCGGGATTTTCCCCGGAGATGCCTCTTGTCGACATCCAAAGGAGAGCTAATCAGAAGCCTGTGACTTCCAGACCAAAATTTCTTTTCACAAACTCCAGAATTATTTTTGGATTTCCCAAAGGTCAAGATTTCCACCAGATCCATGGATATGAATCTCGTTTCTCGGTAAGTTGGTATCACATTTCCAAAATTGACTGGGGAAATCCAATCATACACCTCATTGGACAGGAAAAAATCAAACCACGTGATTAGCCCCAACTTCTCCTTGTTGCTGCGACAAAGCCAAGAACGTGTCAGCTTATCTAATAATACATCAATCAAATCTGCGGACTTTTGGCGTCGCAACGTCAGGTTCCGTTGAAGAACGCGCCCTTGACTTATCACACTGCGCACCATTGCCCTCAGCGTTGCCGGTTAGCAGATTTCAAATCGCTGATCAGCTTCCCCTGACCCACATGTCCTTGAGGTCTCGAACCTTGGAAACTTCTGGTAAATTCCCTGTGGTTCCTGGCCCACTCATCGTAATCCAAACACATCAATCAACCTTCTGTTGATCATAAAGGGGTCACTATATCGCAACGAATGCGTTGTGATCTCGTTGTGGAAAAGTATTGGTACGTTGTCTTGTGCTCTCTAAGCATCAAATTCCCCGCTACTTAATTTAACTGAAAGATCCTGGCAATGGCGCATTGAACAAAAAAAAAAAAAAAATGAGATGCTAACTTGTGCGCTTCGTCAGAATTTGATTTCCCATCTACCTGCTTTGGCTGAGTGCTCCAATTGATACGTTTCCGGCTCCCACACGAATAGAATTGATATCTGCGATCTCTCGTTTTCAACCATGGCTTTAACTGCTGGGTCATTCGTGACCTTCCTCATCGTTTGTCGTAAGTCTCCGAAACCCCGTTCCTCCAACCCCGACTTAACTTCAACAACAACAACAACAACAAAAATAAAATAAAAAAAGAGGGGCGAAGCAATTGCTGCAAATCCAACGCAATAGAAACAGAAAGCAAACAACAAACCTACAGCTGACCACTTATTTTTGTAAAACAGCAACCTCGTTCTTCCTCGGGATAATCTTCTCCATGTTTCCGTACGATTACCCCGTCCTATGGTCCACAGATCCAACGCCCGATGCATACTATTCCTTCCTGGAGAACCACCTCAAATTCATGCACGCCTCCCCACCTTTGATCCCACGCATTTTACACATCGTCGTCTTCGTCGGTTTAGCCGGTATCGTTGCAAAGCTCTACAAGCCCTCTGAATCCAACATGCTCTTTGACGGCGCCAGTCTCGTCCTGTACATGTGCGGTGTTATCGTTTACATTGCAAACATTGTCAAGGGTTTGCGAATCGTGTCTTCTGGAGACTATGGCGCTCCGGACCCAGACGATGAGACGGATCAGGTACTTGGACGCGAAGACAGCTTGAAGGTCATGGCTGCTAGTAACACGATACTAGCACTGGTTTTGGTGGGTGTTTTGGTCTTACAAGCTGGGCAGTGGTATGCAGAGCGCAAAGAACAGCAGGAAGCGGACGCTTTTGTGAAGAAAGAGAACGAGGCCAAGAAGGAAGCTCCCAAGGTCACGAGGCAGGGCCACAGCACATCGTCAAAAAAGAAGCAGTGATTTTTTTTTTTTTTTGGTCTCTCCTCGATTTATGTCAAAAATATGGTTGTTACGTTATTGATTAGTTTCAAGAAGGTTTTCTCTTTCTCTTTCTTTTTCTTTTTCTTTCCCTCTATCTAGTTTGGAGGGAATCTAGGGCTCTTTTTCTTTTTTCTGGCATGATTACCGAACAGCTGTATGTCAACAGTCGCCCTTTTGGATCCCATGTGGATAGGTGGTTACAAAGGGACACTTTACTGTGTATCGGGGTCATGGTTGTTGTCAAAAGTCAGGCACAAGGGGAATAGCTAACCTGAAGAAGTCTGACTCATATTGTCACTTCTTCTCCCTTCGATTGCACAAGATGGGGTTATAAATTGAGCATGAAAGGGTACCCTTGTTATCATGCGTAAATGCTACGTGTTTGTAGAATTTGAGTTTGGCTGTCCTAAAGAGCACTTTGCATTTCCAAATACGTGATGACAAAAACCACTTTGAAATAAATTGTAAGCAGATAAGCAATTAATCCATCAATGGCGAGCTGTGATTCTACACAAGATCAACCATAAATAAGACAAGCAAAAACTCCACAGATGATTTCACAAGGAGGGGTTCAACACACCGATGTATGCATTGATAACTTAGGGATAGAAGTATGGCCCTCCGAATTTGAACATCAAGATAGAAATTTCCAAATAAACGCGAAAATGCAATTTTAAAAAACAGGGTAGTCATTAGACATAGCAACATCATCTATGTAGATAGAATATGGTTGAAATGGACCACCACAAATAAGAGCACGGATAGCAAGTTTCTGGAATATCTATCGAAACGAAAGGCGATTCATTTCGTTTTATGATCCTTCTGGGACACTAACTTGGTAGGCTGTGGTACATTTTCTTTTCAGGATTCCAAACACTTATTTCATGATTCATTTAACTTCATTTTCGCGTAGGGTATAGTTTCTTTAGGGGAGAATGAAAAGGGACTTCGTGGGATATCTGGGGAACGAGGACTAAGCGCTATCGCGAATAAACCGTCATCCACGCTTTGATCATTGTTCTGGGTTAGGCTGGTAAATCCTTCCTGCCCTAGTTGTTGTTGCTGTGCCTGTATGGAAGCGGGGGGGAGATGTGCTACAGCTTGAGGTATCGATGGTTTAGGCGATTCAGCGATAGGGGTATGACGGAACAGCTTGAACGACGATATAGCAACATCCGGACCCTCTGGGGAGAGGGGATGAAAATCTGAGGCTTCTGTTCGGCTTGCTACAAATTGGGGCGAATGGAGTCAGCATGTTGCGCACTGGCCGATCATTGGTTCCATGGGGGCGAAAAGAACCCCTTTACCTTGGGAAGGTTTGCGCGTGAGATCTTTCTCACTCGTTCCCAGTTTCAGGCCCTTGAGTTTTTCGCTGAGCTTCCTCCCGCCACCCGGAGACAGGGGAGTAGTAGGACTGAGAGGAACGGAATTCCATGACGACACATTTGCCGTCTGGAAAGGTGTTGGACGGGCTCCAACACCAAAGTTGGTCTCAATCCATTCTTTTTCTTGAAGTGCCATCTCCAAGGCCACACCTTCTATGTTATATCTCGATTCCTCCCTGATTTCTCTCTCCAGCTCTTGTAATCGCTTCTTCGCCCATATCGTATGTAGAACCCCTTTCTTGCCTGCAGCTACTGCCGTGGCTCCAAGCTCAGGCGGGAAAATTGCAGGGAGAGGATTCACCTGGAGTGAATCAGGTTTCTTAACTGTCGCAGCAGAACTGGGTGGTGGCTCATAGGCCAATGTGACGACAGGAGGAATGGTAGCATGGTAAGGGAGTAAGAAATAACATCGTCGGACGTGTTCTGACGTTTGTTCATTTGCTGGGAGGACTGTTTTCTTTCCGTCCCAGGAGACGTGCCAAGTTCCCGACGATCTGGTGAGGTCGTCATCTTCCCATTCCACCATCAAAATCTTTGTGCCCTCGTTGCCCTTGCCTGGCTCAAATTCAAACCGTGCAAGAGCAGAGATAGACAACAATGGAGACCGAACATGAGGAGTGTCCAACACAGCAGAGTCGCTGTATGGAGTAAATTGCTGAGCCATGCCTCTCTACCACTCCCAGTGAAACACGGGGAGACAGAAATGAAAGGAAGAAATAAAAGGTAAAAAAGCTAAAGAGGGACAACGGAGCTGGATCAATCAACGGGAACCGGTAACTAGCCAACAACACAAAGGCCTAAGGCATCCATGGACAGAGACACAGGTTGTTGCATGGGTTGGACGGTGCTGAGTTGGTGTCTCGTCGAAGAAAAGGAGAACCAACAGCGAAATCACGAGGCAAAGGCTCACAGACGCAATAATAGTGACAATCCGCCCCCCACCGGCCACTAGCATATTAGCAGCAGATTTAGCAGGAATTCGAGCAAGAATGGAGAAAGAATTAGCGGGCTGGCCGTCAAATGGGCTTGTCGTGGCTATTTTGTTGTTTTGAAACATCTTCCGTCAAACCCTTCTAGAAACCTGCATATCCCAATATGTTGCAACCAATGCGATTGGGGACTGCTGTCTGTCTGCCCCGATGGAATAATTCCATGTAACTAGTCACCTGGGGAAGGAATATGTATACTCATATGGGTTTACGCCATATGTAGAATTGTTGTATCCGAAGGAATTTGGGCCAATCGAGCAACCTGTTAAACTCTATCTCGTCTCATCACGAACGAGATTTCGATTACAATCAGCACGGCTTTGTGATGTCTAATATTTACTCCCATAGTGAAAACAGCAGAGTTGATATTATGCTCCCTATCACGCTAACTGGTGTGGACGGGGGGGATTGTGATATGGAAACTTTGAAATGCGACGGAACTGCTGACGAGGAATGCAAACATATGGACAATAACAATAACAACCCTTTAACCCTTCTTGGTTCATGGAAGCCACTCTCTGCTACACTTGGATTCAGTGGGTTCTGCCCGGGATTCAGGGGCGATGCCATTTCGTATTACCTCGCATCGGTCACGTCGGGGAGGTAAAGCAGATGAACTCATACAAGTGAGGATTCTGGAGCAGCAGAGGACTTTATGATATTTAACTAACATGTATAGTTATCCCTGGCTCTTTGACATCCTGAAATCGGAATGCGCTGCACGCGTTCCAGTTGCTGGTTTTCACGAGCTGCTGTCTGTCTCAACAATCGGATCAAATTGCCCATCTGGAATACGGGCCCATACCAGGATGAAACCGTTGAAATTGCCAAAAATCATATATGCCAGGGCCATCTGCTCGAACCTGCTTGAACCAGCCTGTTCAGAATCAGACTTCACACTTGAGGGTGTTACTGGCTAGTTTGCTACCCTATCTGGGTGACAGGATGTCTGTACTTAACCGTCACTTTTCTGGAAAAACAGTCACTTTGTAAAACCTTGCAACATTCATTTCTTTGTTACCAAACACTTGTATATGTGTCCGGGGACAGGATCCCGAGAAGGATGTGCATGATGCAGACACACACTCGCTTCCCAGGTCCGGCATCTGATACTCCGGCAAGCCCTCACATCCATTCACAGGCAGGCTGCTCTGGATTCAATAACTTAGTTATGGGAAAGAAGATGCAGCACAGCATCGCAAATTTACACCAGGCACTATTCTACTCCCTCTAGTAATGATGAGATGGGATACAAAACCCTGGGTCGGGATATGAAGATGTCATCGATTAATTCTGAGTTTGCTTGATCAGAACCTTCTGAGTTGCAGCCGAGGTCACTGCTGAGGGTCAGCTCCTTACCTTTTTCGCTGAACCTTCGAATGTTATTCTTTAGCTCAAAGGGCAGTCCTTGGTTTGCCAGCTACTCTATATGAATATCTGAGTCTGAGACTCCATTCTCCAAATGACAGTCGATCGAAAGAATCCAAAAATAATTTAACTGGGGAGAGAGGTCATGAAATAATATTCTTCAGATTTTCTTTCCTCGCTTGTGGAATATGGGAGAAGGGAGACAACAAGCCGTTCATTACTGTCTAAGATGCGTGTATACGTGATTGAACCGATCTTGAGTCCAAGACATGAAGATCCTCAAGCCCAGAGAACCGCTTTTGCACCCATTCAAATCAATGGACGAACTGAAAAACCACCATCTTGAAGAAAGGTATGTTGTTGGAGCTTGGGTCATGGAAGGAGAACTTTGTAGAAGAAGAATGGATCAATGGATGAAGGAGGTTAAGCCAAACCCAATCACTAAATTCCAAATGGAGGGCACTTAATGATTCCATAGGACCACAGTTCACCAGCGCGAGGTAGTTGATGTGGCTAGAAAAGTATCGTGTGCCCAAAGAATCCTTTATTGGTCTGTGATATTGACCATGGCTTTTGGTTACTATTCGCCAAGCTGAAGGAATTGCAGGTAAAAATTGCGGGGTGACGGGGCTGGGTTTTATATAGTCCGTGTACTGCGAGAAACAATATCTGCCAATGGCTGTTGGAGGTGAGAATTTCTTAGTTGCATGGGGTACCTTTAAGCGCTTGCTAATTACCATAGATTGATCATTACGCATATTGGATAGAAGTGGGAGGGTGTTTGAAAGATTCTCTGTAATAAATTATTGCAGTAGATCATCAACAGACAAACAGACATGGAGAGTTGGTGAAGGAGTTGCAACCCTACCCCGTCCCAGAAATAAAAAAACATGTCCTATATACGGGCACAAATGAAAGGAGGTATATATACGTAGTGCGCAGACATCAAAAATATTCCCAGTCCGATCCCAACCATCATGACAAACACAGATAAACTCGAAAAAAGGAAACGGTAGTAGTGGGTAGGACGAACACGTAATAGTGCTCAGGAGGAGAACTGATATCGTATAGATGCAAACCCCTCATCCTGTATGCATTCAAGTGATATATAATGCAAACCGATCTGGGGTATAAACGAACCCCATTAGAGCGGAAATCCTATTCAACGACAGACCAAAACACCGGCTTATATAGCCAAAACCACCGGTGGGAGGCTAAAGAGCAGCGGAGAAAACGAAAAGGAGAGCTATGCGACTGCAGAATAAACGCTAAAAGTCGACACGCACTGGTAAGGTAGGATGGGGCCCATATGTTGACAAAAGTTTCCAGGGCAAGGGAACATATGGTAGACATGGCTGTTGGAGTTTCCGATGCTGCTCACGTCGGTTCGTAGCGCTGGAGATATAGTCCCGTGTAGCCTCAGTGCGGTATATGTTAATACACGGAATTTACGAGGTAGTTTGGTCGTAATATAGCCCAGGGAAGCTGACTCTAGCGGTAGGTTTGAGGGTAGGAATGGAGAAGTGCTACGGGAGTTTGCTCGAAGATATATCGTTGGAGACAAATGGGCGGTCAAGGTTCGAGAGTTAGGGAGTAGGTAAGAACGCAACAGCGATATATCAGACATTTCGGGATTTCATTGCTCGGTTTTTCTTCGTTTGCCCTTTGGAGCTGGCTCTAGAGGGGTGCGCTTGTAGGTTACGGTTCGCGTGACGACATGTCGAACGCAAACAGGTCGTCCCGACGAACTTCGAGGAGGATCGAAAAACCTAGCACCTGGCGAAACGCACCAGTCTGATGGAGAGAATTGGGACTGAGACCGCGCTGACATGCATGTTGCGCTTTTGGGAGACGATGCGCTCATAGGTGAGCGCACGGTTGCGGGGGATGCTGGTATTCGCTGAGCGTGCAGGGATTTGGGAGTCCTTGCTGATCTTGGATGCGCAAATGGGGATGGCGGCGGAATAGATATGGCTGGCAATTTATGCGGCTTATGGATATCGCAAGTACAGGAGTGGGTGCCGTTTGCGGTTGAAGGCTGAGAGGTTGGTGAAGAATATCCAGAGCTCGTTTCAGAAAACACAGGGGAGGCAGTCTTCATGGGGCTAGCCAGTACGGGGGTAACTGACTTAAGAAAGTCTATATAGGCCACAGGCGGGGTGATTGGGGTTTTCAGAAGTGCATCCTCCTGTTTGATAAAGTCTGGTCTGTCAGAGAGTAGCACAGGACTCTGATGAAGTTCAGAGGGGAAAGTTGCAGACTTCGAGGTGGAAATGGGAGGAAGCCTTGGCTTCGAAGAATCAGGCATGGCTGGGAGAGTAGAGCACTGATCGTAAAATGAACTATCCGCAAGATTAGAAAAGAACGGCCGATACAACAAGTGAATGTCTCGGGCACGAAGGAAGTTCAATTCAATGGCCACACCAGGATACTATGGAGGACAACAACAAGGCTTGGGGAGCAAGACCAAAAGATCGAAACAAACAAGAGAAATGGGCAGCAGTGACCTTTAATAATCACGATGCGCTGGAAGCAACTAACTGAGTGCGATGGAGAACAACGAGGAAACGGAGTGCATGGGACTATTGGCGAGATTTGTCTGGTCACGGCCCCCAGAGCAAAGCAACTTTCCAATGAAGCAGACCAGCTTGCTTCAACCCTGCGGGTTGCCTTTTTTTTTTTTTTTTTTTTTTTTTTGGATTTTGGATTTTGGACGAGGGGATGGAGGCGAAGGTGGTGCAGGCGTGAATATGATTATGACGCCTGTTGCCAGTGCCTGGTGCACCTCGAGGTTGGGCGCGTAAATCTGACCAGTACGAGGCCTTGAAGCAGCTCAGCGGTTTCAGCAGCGCAGTTCAGGGGCTAATATTAGCAAAGCCTAGCACGCAATCGGCCTAGTCACTGGGTGGTGCAAGCCCTGGTTCATCCAAGGACTGGGATGCTGAGGACGATGAACGGGCGCTCCAGCGTAGTGATTGGCCGTTGCGGCCTGCAATTGACGACAGCGCCGTGATCACACTTGATGTCGTGCAGCTGGAGCGATTGCCGGAGTGCTTCAGCCGAAACCTGAGAGAGACGGGGGTTGAGTTGGTGCTGAGCGGGCGAGGAATAATGATGGCACTCGTCGAACTACATTACCCAAAGGAAGAGCAAATATTAGCCCCCAAATGTACTCCTGCATAGGCTAGGATGATGTTGCCATGTCGCTTCAAACATACCAATCGTAATGGAAATTGGGGATCACGCTAAATTAAAAGAGAACTTCCAGAGAAGAAGAGCCGGGATGTCAGCAGATCAGGGTAACCGGCCGGCGAATGTGGCAACTTGAAATGCCACCAACAAACAATTTTAGGGCAATAATAATAGGGAGAATCCACAGATGATTGAGACCTTGGAACGGGAATAGGCACAAGTTTTGACAGATGCTGACTCAGGTCTCATGGTTTTGGGTGAGGATGAGTTGTTCACCAGATGGAATAATGGTCAACATTTTGACTCTCCGGTCTCTTCGGTCTTTCAGGGCTCCTTTATATCCTCCTCCAGGCTTGTATCTCCTCCTTAATTCCCCTCCGTTGACGCCAGCCATGTGTCCGTTTATTTTCTTTCCCATCGCAAAAGAATGGGGCATTAATGAAGAGGGGAGAGGAATTCCCTTGACAAACACGTAACGGCCAATCGACGTTTCTCTGCAGGAGGGAACTTCATGTTCCACAGGTGTGTCAAGGACAAGTGACAAAATATTCAACTCTCGCTCTCTGGTGTCTGGTTCGTGCTTGGAGGTCCATCGTTGAGCGTCTGCTTACCCAGGAGGGGTTGTGCCAACTCGGCGGCTCGGGCAGCGGTTACTCTGCAGATTCGAAGCAAATCCCAGCACCCGAGAGACGGAGGTCAGCTACAGGGCAGCGCGGGCACAGTCTCCAGGCTATTTCTTGTCTTGCATTGGCTGAGGTCTCTGTCGTGGAGAAAATAACATCCACTGCAATTTTTTTTTTTTGATTTTTTTGATTTTTATTTTTTTTATTTTATTTTTTTTATTTTTTTTTAGCATACACGACTCAATTCTACCTATTTTGTCTCGCCGCTCCTCAATCTCTAGGTGACTCGGGAAGTTTTATCAACAACCAATTACGGTTGAGAATCCTTGATGATCTCAAGGCTGGAGTCGCCTCCTCCTCATCCCTAAATACCCTGACTGCTGTTCTGGAGGTCCTATGATAGCCATGCTACTGGACAGTTCCCTTTGCCCTATCAGTTATGCATAGCTTCTTGCATGAAATCAAGTATATTTTTCGATCTCCCAATAGCCATTTACAGCGCTTAATCGGTTACTTTCCCCCACCGTTTTTGCTTGTCGATCATCTTGTGTTTTAGAGAGATGAAACAAACGTTTCATGCCTGAGAAGAATTGATAAATGACTTCCTTCAACAAATAATGATTCGCATGATAAGTTTTCAGGGAGTGGCACTTCTGCTTTTCGAATAATGCCGACTTTAATTTGAGTCAGTTATGGTTCTTCAGGACCGGGCCGTTTATTCATTTTGAGAATGCAGGCGATGACACATACGGGTTCTCTAGAACCAATCACATCTATCTCTCTCTTTTCTGAGTTCGTCAGGAGGAGCTTGAAATAAACATCCTGAAACCATACTAAAATCTGTTTCATCTCTTTCGACATTGACTCCTAATAATATACGGCAGCTGAATGGATAATGATCAAGCCGTCTGTATATCTTCAGGGAATTCTGCACAAGAATGCGGAGAAGCCGCTCGTTTATTTCTATTCTATTTAGACTGTCCAAGTTATTCTCCACATTGCATCTCTCCCAATCTCTCAGATATTATTCATCTTATATTCTCAATAACTCAACCACAGCCCTAAATACATGGAGAGGCAGTTATTTAAAAGTCCCCTGGCGTCAAATACTATATCCTCTTTCTTAGAAGCCGCCCGGCTTCCCCAGCAATCTCCAGGAGCCTACTTCCCTTCGCCGTGGCCCCCCATCCAGCTACTCTGGCAACAAGAAATCCGTGAACAGGCTATGAATGACAAATATGTTAGTCGCCGTGGGCATGGAGGCGCATCAACAACCCAGCGCGTACTTCCACCCCGCAGCTCTTAACTAAAACTCAGGTCAAATTGCATCCTCGAATACTTGATCGGAGGAGAGCTTGTTGACGGAGTGTTAAACGCCCTGCTCATCCAAGCTTCATGCACTTCCTGCTCTGTATTTTATCATATCCCTGAACTACAAGTAATGCAAAGCAAACATAGAACATATGACACATGTTGCGAATCCCCAAGCTGTTTTCCAGAATCAATCATACCCTTACTGCATATCCGCGTGTGTGGATGCAAATAACGCAAATAAAGTCTATCTCCCCCCTTAATTCTTCATGACCACTCACTTGAACACATCATTGGTTCAGATGCATTTATCCTGCTTCTGTTGTTGCGCTTTCAATGCACGATTTATGCGGATTAACATCTCTACTGACATTATATCCTTGCTGCGTGCAACCAATAGATTTGTCAAGTCACCTGTTTGACAACTTCTGAAAAGCTATCGTGGAGACTCAAGCTACAAACAGTTTATACTCTCTTTCTGACGCTCCGAAGGTAGATATTACTTGGCGGCTACTTTTTTTTCCCCCAAGAGCAAATGACATAGCGCGCGCTGTACAGTGTTTACTCAAGGAAAATTTCCCAGAAGCAGGTACTGTGAGTCGACTCTATCGAGCCATTTGTGTTTGTCCACAATAAAATTAACCAGGAGACGCATGAATTGTACAAGTGAAATCATCAGAGGGCATGAAATGAAGAGGCGGACCTGAACATATTCTGTGGCAGATTCCAACAAGCTGTACTATAAAACTGGACTGGGATGATGAACGAAAACAAGGCAGTAAAAAATCCGTCTAGCAGAAACGGGTATGACTTGAGCGAAGTCAAGTAGCGCGTTGATCTTCATTGCAGGGGAACACAAATCGAATCAAGTAGCATCAGGGAAAGATTGGAAAAGGGTGTAAAGGGGGCCTTACAGATGAATTACCATCGAGCAACATAAATCTGCCCATCAGTAATACGTGAACTGCAACTTCTCTCATTAACACCTTCACAACCTGACAGACGAGAGAAAAAGTGCTAGACTCAGGAAGCCTTCTTCCCCACGATTAATTGATGACAGACAATGACACCCGTCGCAAGTTCAAACACAAGCTGAAAACATCCATCTCCTTGCATTAGAAGATAAAAGAACGAAATGTATCCCATCATCGACATTCCCTTCCCATCGCCCTCACCAAAGAGGACCCGTAGTATCAACGGGAAAGAAACTTCCTATCAAGGATTTTAGACTTAGTCTCCAGAACCACTGAAGCCTCCAGAGAGGCTTCATGGCAACACGTCGCTGTGGGGCGACCTAATAAAAGGCCTTTTGCTAAAAACGACGGTCGTGGCTGGTTCTGTTTACTTTTTGATGGAGAGAGAAATTAAAAGAGAGAAAAAACGTGTTGCAGTGGAGAAGTTCTCGGTTTTGTAGCAAGTTGTGGGTCATGTGATTTGTGGAGCGTGCGTTGCCCTTACAACAAGAGTGAGATATATTTGCCGAGGTTGCCGGTTTTCACAACAGGCAGATGGCGATGAAAATAATTAATTATGGTTTTCTCTTTTCATCGTCAAATTTTTCTTTTTTTATATCAAATGAAAATTAATTGTCCCAGTCTCTAGCTAGGTATCTATATATGTATCTATAAAAAGATCGCCTTGGTGCGTTGAGGATCGACTGATTCTCAAAAACGCCGGATATACATATATGATAATGAATATATAACAATAGCGCACATCTGCTGATGGGAAATGGAGACTTTCAATTTCCCGCCATATATGCAAAAACGCCAATGTCAGATTCCAGACACCCATTTCCCAACAGAAGAACGCCTTGGACGCCATTTGCAGTGTCCTATTAAAGAATTCCTCCCAGCCAGTTCTGTTTATACAGAGGTATAGGAGCAACGATGCGCTGTTGTGTCCATCGAGGCTTTGAAAATGTCACGATTATATCGTCGGTACGAAAATGAGAAGTTACCACGAACGAGTGAGAGAAAAAACAAGTCAGGCTGGAATCGTTGGAGGGAGAGACAAAGTATCCTAAAAAGATGAGAAGAAAAAAATGATGGCATCATTCCTACCATTTGTATATCCGTCAGCTGAATTCATGTGGTGTATGAGTCTTTTGGGAGTGGGGGATGGCATCAACCAACAAGCCACTCAGCAGTGCACTGAAAATATTCACACCTTTATCCAACTCCGGCAGCCGCCTTCACCCCGGTCTTGGGATTTCCACTTGCTGGTTACTTGATTTCCAAACGCCTCCACCAAGAGCAATTGAAATGCCCAACCCTATTCCCACCATGGAGCCCACAATGATGACGGCAATCAATGCCTTGACGGCAAATTTCTGCTTCTGGCTAAGCCTTCCTAGCCATCTGGAATTCTTTTGCCTGCTATCCACCCATAGGCCTCTAGTGCTCCCCTGACCATCCATCGATGGTCTAAGGCCAGCCTGGTACCCGTTCTCGACATCATGCATTCTGTACCTTTGACTGCACCGGTGCGAGGTCTCGTTTCTCAACTGTTCTAGCGACGTGCGGGTTGTTGGGTGCTTGTAGAAGGGGGAGTAGGGCTTTGCTCCCCGAGAGGGATCGAACTCGCTACTTGCCGGGCTCCCGGGTGGGCGATAACATGGATTGGGTGAAGGGAGATGCCTGTCTTCGTGCGCTGTCCAGCCGGACAAGGTCAGATCGGTAGGAGAGTCGTGGTCGTCATGAAGATTTTGTTGCTCTTGTCTGGCGGTGGCGAGGGGAACTTCGCCAGCCTCCCCGGCCTTGATATCCTTTTCGAATGAAGCCATGGTGCAAGGGCACACACACTCTCTGCGGAGGGAAAAGCCAGAAGGGAAGAAATATCTTTTTCTTTTCCTTGTTCTTTGTTTGCGTGGGAAGCAATGTAATGGCGATAGTTCTGATTTGTTTGTAATTTTAGGGGCTGTGACAGCCCCCTGAAAATAGTTTTTGAAGTTCTCGGGTTCCGATTTTCTTTATGCCGCGACAGGTACCACAGCTCCCTGGAAGCGGAGGGATGGAATTACTTGAAAATATCTGCCAACCTTTCTTAATGAAAAGGCTGCTAGGTGAGGAATGCTGCGAAGCTGTTTTGATGAAAGGGAAGAATTTGAGCTAATGCATAAAGATGTCGCAGAGGACAATGAGCATATGGGGAGTTCTGGAGAGTTAAGAAATGTTGACCGGATGGCCCGGACAGGGTGGCATTCGTGGTTTTTGCTGATAGATAGATAGAATGAGAGGTTGGGGAGAGAGTGCGAGAAAAGAGATCGAGAAAGAGATCGGTCGATGGAAATAACAATTGATATCGGACCGAGAGACGACCGGGGAGGGGGGGGGGCGGGGTGGCGCGGCAGGAGGTTTTCTCGAGGGTGACGCCTTCCAAGTTCCTCGGGGGAGGGGGGGGAGGTCAACACCAGCAGCGCGGCAGGCGAGTGCTGGGCCTTGAGAAGGCACTGCCGGGCGTGTCTGCCCGGGGGAGGGGGTTGGTTGGTTATTCAGCAGAGTCGAGGACTGGATGTTGTCGTCGGTCCCTTATGCATGTCCTTGCGAGTTGCGCTGCTCGTATATCAAGGTTTCTCTGCTGCGGGTGGTGGGGTGGGTATTGAGCGCGGAAAGCTGATCAATAAAGGCGAATGGGTTGCACGGGTTGGTTGGCGACAATTGCCTCTGATCACCTTTCCGGGAAAGGGGTAATATCGAATATTCAGTTATATCAAAACCAACACGGCTGTTATATATGTTTTCATGAAGAAAAAGAAGAAGAAGAAGAAGAAGAAGTGCGGGAAGAGATCATATGGCGCAGAATTATTATTATATTATTAGTTTTTCGTTGGATTTCACTCAGTGAAGGGTGAGAGGATGCAAGAAGCGTGCAAGTGCTCTAGAATCTATGATTCGAACAGCAATCGGCGGTGCCAGCAGCAGCGTTGGTTTGCCCCAATCTCGCTGCGCAAACCCAAAACTCAACTGACTGAACACTAATGGAAACTAAAAGGGGGTGGGAGTCTGGGAGAGTTTCTTTGTTCTCTGGTTGGGGCGGTTGATCCACGGTCCAACTACGCTAATGGAGTCTGTCAGGTCCCCGGGGCGCCAACGACTAAAAAGCAACTGAAACTAACCGGGCCCAGTTTCTGGTCCCTGAACTTTAGATAGGATTGTCACCAATGGTCGTGGTTAGCAGCGCCGCTGCGGTGGTCACAAGAGGCGTTGAGCGGTCAGATTCGCTTCTAGCCTGCTTGGTTTTCAGTTAGCTGTTTGCTGGGATCTTTGGCGATTTTTGAAATTTGAGGACGGCTAGTCGAATCTCCTGAAGAGCCAAGTTCCTTGAGTCCCGTTCAGTTGCAACTTGTGGGATCGCTGGGTTCTCACCCGTGCGTCCTCGTTTGCTGTCTGAGCCGGTAAGATTATTCCTTGGGGAATACCGTCGTATCGCAGAGCGCTGCTGAACCAAAATGAAATACAATGAATAAAATATGGTGGGATTGTCGGTTCTCTGGCTGCGTACTACTTTTATCTCACACAGTTTCTGTTCCTGAATGCACAATAAATGCTGAGCAACATCGTGCGGATCTTCAGTTCGCTCAGGTTAATAGGTCACTGATGTCGATTGAGACACCGAACCCTCATGCAAAAAAATAAAATAAAATAAAATAAAATAAAAAAATAATAATAATAAATAATAAAAAAAAAAAAACCCCAAAAAAAAATATAAAATAAAAAAATAAAAAAATAATAATGGCCAATGATATATGACGAGGCTCTCTTCCATCCGACTACGGGGCACTCCGTGTGGTAACTAGATAACTTTCCTTCCCGCTGTTTACAACCCAAAGTTTTCTCTTCCTCTCATTCGATTCTTTGCACTAACTATGTACTTGATAAATAAACTCCTCTCGTGGTAACTACCTTTCTCTTGGTCCATCCTTGTGTGGCTGCTTCGTCGCAAGTAGTACCTCTGGGAGTAGCCATTGCAAAGGTGAAATCTCCTCTTAACTCTTCACATCGACTGTCTAGCTTATTTGGTGACGACCATTTCCCAACCACAAGGACCCCAGTTCTGCATCTTGATGCGCCACTGTGGCGGCAGAAGAATTCAAGTTCTACAAATCATTGCGATCGGAGTGTCTGCAACCCCCCGTCCACCTTCAAGCGGAAGCGCAGTGACCGAGTTCTCGAACATCGAAGAATGGGGTCCCCCCCGCCGACTCGTTCTTTGAACGACTCTGGTCAATTTGCTTATCCATAGCCATACCGGATAGACTTTCCAAACCTTAGTATGACCTTTTTCCACGGTCTGAGAGGGAGTTCACCAAGTTCAAGTTCAAGCCCTACCCAACAGTTATTCCCCTCTCGAATGTTTGCTATATTTTATCTGGATACCAAGCATTGCTTCGTGTAGCTTCCTCTTATCTAAGTTACGTCCTTCCGGGCACCTTTTTCTTTCACGACAGTTTCAGTGACTTCTCGATAATTTCATCAAGGTTACCCTCGTGCTATGCTTTGCGGCACAAAATGCGCTATTATTATGCACTAGGGACCGTATGTGTGATGGCAAAGTATAGTTTGCAGAAGTATAGAAGGGCGGGAAGCGAGCCGCGTTATTACCTCGAACGGGTTGTGTGCGCACATCATGAACAGTCTTTTGGGAATATCCCGCTTGGTGATTAACTATATTTTACCCCTACAGCAATTACTTTTTAGCCACTCGCTATCTAGCGGAGCCTGCGGGTGGTTGATTGACTATCTTGTCTTGTGCTGAAAAATGCAGGGTGAAGCAAGAAACGAAAATAAAATAAAAAAGGGATATTCGATGCGAGAAGCTGAGAATCTATTTTTTAGCCCCTCAGCGGATATCTCACTCACACGGATATAGGTGCTTCTGTTGGACCAAACCACGGGGGTGCGATTGGATTGGATTAAAGCTTGGGAATTTAACCTATTCCCATCCCATACAGAAGCCTATCCAAGAATCCAAACCCCATTCAATACTAAGACTCGCGCTGTTGAGAGTTGTCCTTGCTTATTCCCACCATGATGCAGATATAACACGGCACGCATACCTCTACAAACCTCTTACCATTAGACAGAGAGGGGCTTTTTTTAGTTTGTCGCCCTAAACGGCACGAACAACAAGAAATGAAGAAAGTTAAAAGGTATAGAAACTCAGAGAGGTTCGTCCCCCTCAAGTCTATGAGAATTATTCCTCAACTCCTGTCAGCGGATCCCATCTATCCTAGATATTCAATTTAAGATACTCACTGTCAGAGGGGTATCTTATCTGCAGGAAAACTGTAGAAATTTAGAGAAGTTACATTTGTTCTAGGCTTTTCTTTTTTCGCCCCTTGCATTTGGCATTTCGCATGTTGTGCAAAGTCTCTTCTCTCTCTTGTCCTTCCGAAGGGGCATGTCTATCATAGCATGTTTGTGCGAGGCAACCATTATACTCTTATGCACGCCGCTCAGTTAGGGCTAGCAGAATTATATCTCTTCATGTCGAGGCACCAAACTGGACTCAACCCCTTTTTTGGCTCCATGTCTATGGAGAGAATATCGCCAAATCATCGAAAAAACACGAACTGCCTGCTTTTGCCTGTCCTTTTTGATATATGCATAATTCCTTTATGATCTCTTTGGTCTTCTATCATCTTCTGCATTTTTGGTATCCCCCATCACAATAAATGTTGTGAATTATTTTGGAAGTGATTAACGAGAGGGTTATGTAGTATATTCGCATCGCATCGGTCAGCTCGTTGTCCATTGTTTGAATATCCTCTGAAAATCGATTGGCAATACGACCCATTGGCGCAGTAAAATAGGACATGGGGTACCCTTGAAACCCGTGTCATTGCTTTGTGAAGCATCGCTTTGCTAGCACTCGTTCTGCTTAATGATAGAATTGTCGAAAATGCTAAAAATAACACTAATCGAGAACCAGAAAATCCAGCGTAGATAACAGTATATTGGTCTTGCGACAAGTCTAGCTTGTTTGAGGTCCAGTATGAAAGCCACAGGCTTATCACAATGTTTACCCTGCTCGCCAACAACAGAGACAAGACAATCAGTGGGACTTCTTTTCCGACTTTTTGACATTTTTCGTCTTCGATCTCATCATCCAATTCGTCGTCTTTCTTGGAAACATCCTCTTCCTGGGAGGTAGCAGCCAGCAATGGGTGGAACACTTTGCCGTCGCACATAAGGTTATCAAAAATATCGATGGTATCTATGCGTCCGTCATTCATCAACGTAATATGGTCGCATCGACCGAGGACGTGCAGTGCTTGAGTTGCGAGGATGCGGTATTTATCACTGTGCAAGCCACATATAGCATTATCCATGATATGGCAGCCAACATAGGCATCGACGGCAGATAACAGATCGTCCGTTAAGATGAGATCTGCATCGAAATAGATAGCTCGCGCACTAGGGGACAGGAAATCACTTGCCGTCATCAATGGAGATATCCATTGGAACGTCATCAAACTCATCAGAAATGACTCACCACACTCTTTGGCGTATGGGGCAGAGGTCCCCGAAGAGTAGCGGGAGGGGTATATATGCTCCACAAAATCCGATGTCTCAGCTCCCTGCACGGGAAGAGGGCCACAAGACACTGGCCTAGCGGTCGAATGGGATAATAACCTTCTTCCCGAACAAGTGCGCCCGTTCCCCTAATATGACTCCTGGCTGTTCGGTACTGACCGGTGAGAGGGGTCATTGAGGTTTGTGTTCCTTGAGGAGGTATATATATGGTAGTCTATTGGCTGCTTTTCCTTGATATGTTGGTGAGAGTTTGAAAAATTTGAAAGTACATTCGAAAATACGTGACATGTCGCTTTTTCTGTCCAGCTTTCTCACTTCCCAGTTTAATGACGAGTAGTGAAGGTGTCAAGGAATACAGACGAAAATAATCGGACCGACATGGGATATTTTCCCAAAGAAAACACGGAGAAAGGAGGGGAGAAAAAGGCAAGCTACCCCGATTTTTTTTTCCCCACTCATTCATCATCAAATTCATTATCCCCTACATAAATGATACCAATTTCATTTGATTGGAATATTCAAGGTCATCCAAAAAAGGCAGAAGCAATAACCAACAACCTCCCAAGCCATGAAGCATCAACCGTAGTGTACAGTGAGTGTATCACATACATGTACATGCACAGGATTAATAACGAAGGGGAAACAGAAAAAGTCCCACTCCACAACCCAATAGCAACAAGAAAGCCCTTTTGCCTCTGTAAACTGATGGAAGACAGAACAGCCAACACCCCCTTCCCCCGGGTCCGAAACCGCCCTATGCCTGCCATACGCCATTTATTGCACGATTACATAGTGGAAAATATATACCAAGGAAATTGAGTTGCTAGTGAAAAAGGAAAAGGAATTTCAGGTTGGGATAATAAGGGATGCAGGAGAAGAAACTTTGTCCCCGGTCGTAAACAGGAGATGAGACATATGTTGCAGTGAGCTAATGATTAGCTTTTTCCTTGAAAAAAGAAGTTTCAGATGGCGGTGGGGTGGGCTCTCTCCACTCTATGCACTCTTCATTTTTGGCAGCTCCTTAACGGATTGCTCGATAATCTTCAATGCGGTTTTCATCTCTTCTTCTGTAATCACCAAAGGAGGCGCAAAGCGAATGATATTCTGGTGAGTCGGTTTGGCCTACCGCAAATATTAAACATTAGACAGATACAAGTGTGCAAAACATCGGAAAAAAAGCACTCACCAATAATCCCTTGTCTTTCATCAACATACAGAGATCCCATGCAGAGTGTCCGCCAGTTTTAGACTCGTCGATGACAACGGCATTCAACAAACCTTTACCACGAATGGTCTGGATTATGGGACTATTTATCGTAGCCAATCCCTCACGGAACTGCTGGCCAAACTTTTCTGCGCGCTCCGACATCTTTTCGTCGCGGATAAGCTCCAGTGCGCGAATAGCGACAGCGCAGCCCAGAGGGTTACCACCGTAGGTAGAGCCATGCGTTCCAGGCTCAATTGTGAGCATGACTTCTTTCCTGCCCAAGACGCAGGAGACGGGGTACATGCCGCCCGATATGGCCTTGCCCAGCAAGACGAGATCGGGTTTAATGCCGCTCCATTCATGGCAAAGCAGTTTCCCCGTTCGGGCAATGCCAGTCTGGATCTCGTCGCAGATGAGGAGGGCATTGTGTTTATCGCAGAGTGCTCTGGCTTCCTGTAGATAGTCCTCGTCCGGCACGACAATGCCTGCCTCACCCTGGATTGGCTCAACAAGGAATGCTGCGATAGACGGCCCCGCTTTTTCGAATGCCTCGCGAAGCGATGCTTTGTCATTGAATACGATTGGCTTATCAGTGCCTGGAACTGAGCTGCCGATTAGGGGCAAGTAAGGTCCATAGTTCTCCCTTGATTCGGGGTCAGTGGACATTGAGATCGCTGCAAACTGCATTTTTGCCCTTCCGGTCAGTTAAATGAAATAGGGCTTTCCGGGAATGGAGAGAATGAAAAGGTGAAAGAAAAAATAATCCGAACTCTATTTTAGTTAACTGACAGTGCGTCCATGGAAGTTGTTCTCCACGCTTAATACAACAGCTTGGTCTCGGGGGATGCCCTTGACTTTGTAACCCCATTTCCGGGCAATTTTGATCCCTGTTTCAACAGCCTCTGCACCCGTGTTCATGGGGAGGACCATGTCAAAGCCAAAAAACTTTGTGACAAATTCCGCAAATTTGGGGAAAACATCGTTGTGGAAAGCTCGGGAGCTCAAGGTGAGGGTTGAAGCTTGGTCAACCAAGACCTTGACCAACTCCGGATGACAGTGACCCTGGTTGACGGCGGAATAGGCGGAGAGGAAATCGAGGTAGGAACGTCCTTCGGGATCCCAGACAGTTGTGCCAGCGGCACGGGCAAAGACGATCGGCAAGGGGTGGTAGTTGTGGGCGGCATATTGATGCTCTGCGGTGATGGCGGAGGAGGTTGAAGAGGCATGGAAGCGGGAACGGTCCAGAGGAGTAGCCTGTCCGGACAAGGTATTTGCTGTCAGGGCAGTCTTGCTTCTCTGCGCAGGGTTCGTAGGACTTTCGTTCGGGGCCATTGGGGACATGTTGTTGGTGGCGGGGGTATAGAGACTGGGTTGGTGGAGGGCGGAGGCGGGATCTCTTGGTATTGGGAGAGTGGATCAGGGGGGTCCGAAGACAGTCAAGATGATGTAGGGGAATGTTAACTACCCAAGCAATTAGCCAAAAGAACCTGAAAAATATTCAGAAGGGTATATTTAAGGTTAATCTACAGTTAAGCTTTAGGTGTTTTCCCGGGGAAGGACTAGGAATCGTAACCTTGGAACTGCTGGACAATGCCGCGCTTTATATATAGCTTGCCGGCGGAGGCGATTAAGCCCGACAATAAACGACCGGCTTACATAACCGGGCCAGGTTCCCCACAAAAGAAGTCACTCTGTACTGGGTTTACCGCAGGGTGATACATGCATGGAAAAGTCATGGAACTAGCGCTAGTCCGCTAGCCTTGCAACAAGGTCACCTGCAATTTAACGGCGTCATTATGGGTGTGGACAGAGTAATTTCTCACCCTCAACCACCAACCTCTTCTCCACCCACCCCTCCAATCACAAGACACCGCAGCCACAAGAAGGTTGGAAGGTTGGCCAACTCAACGGAGTTCCCTGCCATGTGTACCTAGAGTGACTGGCTCTTCGGATTCCTGGTGCACCATTTAGCGTTGAGTTTGCTGTCCAGGTTCGGACTCCGCATATCACTCTGCATACCTAACACGGCCGACTCCCCACTATACACATGCGGAACTACAACTACGTCTACAACCTATACACCATCCAGGCAAGCTTCCTCCAACCTAGACGACATGCATGGTTCCAGTTCCATACCCCTCCAGTCAACGACAAGACAGTCCCGGCGACGATTAGTTACCACTACCCCACAGAATATATTTCTCTTCCTTATTGCATTCCGCGCTCTGAATGCGCTCTGCGTCAGGACTTTTTTCCAGCCGGATGAGTTTTACCAATCGCTGGAACCAGCATGGCAAATAGCATTTGGCAAAGACAGTGGTGCTTGGATAACTTGGGTACGAATTTGCGTTGAACTTTTCGACTGCATTTACCGCGACTGACAAGAAAAAAAAAAAAAAAATCGTTCGCATTTAGGAATGGAAACATCACCTACGATCTTCCATCCATCCTTATATTTTTGCTGCGATATATTATCTGTCCAATTTAATATCTGAATCGATATGGGCATCCCCGCTAAATCGCGCAAACCTCTTGGTCGTGGCTCCAAAACTCACACAAGCGTATTTCGCTGCCATTGGAGATTTTTATACTTGGAAGCTGGCTGGCAAAATATATGGGAATTACAGCTATGAGGCCTGGGCTGCTGTCGGTGACACCGAATTTTGGATATTCATATATGGAATATTAGGCCCTGATTGTTTTTTTTTTGTGTAGCTAGCGCTGACCGCCCTGAGTCCCTGGCAATGGTTTTGTTCAACCCGAACATTATCAAACTGCCTTGAGGCAACCCTTACAATCGCCGCATTGTATTTGTGGCCGTGGGAATGGCCATCGGAGTCGCCCTCCTCCCAAGAAGCAGATGTTAAAAATGAAGTCACAAGAAACCGCTCCATCGCACGTCGAAATGGACCAATGCCATTTTCTAGGTATGGTGCGGACAGTTTCATATTTTGATTTAATCTAACCGTTGTATAGCTTGCGGTTATGTCTTCTTCTCGCTGCTCTTGCTTGCATTCTACGCCCATCCAATCTCTTTATTTGGATTTGTCTGGCAACTTTCGCTATATTCAAGACACCCATGTCAATCCACCAAGCGAAAACATCCCTCTTCCTCAGACCGACTACCAAAGAACTTTCAACTTTTATATGTAAAGCCGCAGTCTCAGGGTATGTTTCTTCCATCACATACAGATGTGAAAAATAAAATTAACATCACTTTAGATCCGTTGTACTTGGGATATCAATACTCCTGGATCGTTCCTATTACGGCTCTTGGACGTTTCCCCCCTTTAAATTTCTCTACTTCAATATCGCTCAATCCCTTGCCATATTTTACGGAAGAAATGACTGGCATTACTACCTCTCTCAAGGCTATCCACTTCTCCTCACGACAGCTCTTCCGTTCTCCTTAGTCGGACTTTTCCAAGCTTTATTCAGTAACCAGAAAAGTTACACCAGTCAACAGAACTCCATAAGTCGCCAACTCGCATTTGTATGTGTGTTTATGCCTGCTGTCCTTTCTCTAATATCCCATAAGGAAGTTCGCTTTATTTATCCACTCCTCCCATCCCTAATAATCCTTACCTCCTCGCCGTTGGTGAGATACTTTCTACCCGCCATCTCCTCCAGTTCGCCTTCAAATGTCCCCCGCCGCCTCTTGTTAATATTCCTCGTTCTCGTGAACGTTTGTATTTCCTACTATACAACTGCGTCTCACGCATCCGGCATACTCAAGATCATGGATTATCTCCGTGCCCAATACGAAAGTCACTATTTGACTAAGAACCCCACCAAACTAGAATCTCGATCAGCCCTTGCTCTTTCTCCCCTAATCCCGGCAGTGATGACGGTTGGCTTCCTCATGCCATGTCATAGCACCCCCTGGCGCTCCCATCTTGTCTTCCCTGGCATCCAAGCATGGGCTCTGTCATGTGAACCACCCGTAAACCTCAACTCAGTCGAAAAGGCCAACTACCTCGATGAAGCAGATCAATTTTACGCCAATCCCCTTGCTTTCCTCCAAAAAAATATGAAAGGGGGATTACGAGACTTCCCCCGAAAACCCTCCTACAAGCTCACCAACCAGGCACCCACACCCTCACTATCCCCCATCACCACTAATACAACTACCTACAACCATACCTGGCCCGACTACCTCATCTTCTTCTCCCAGCTGGAACCCACCCTCCTCACCGCCATGCACAGTTCATCCTACTCAGAATGCTACCGCACCTGGAACACAGCTTGGCACGACGACTGGAGACGCAAAGGTGACATCGTTGTCTGGTGCCTAGACCTAACCATCCAGCGCGACTGGCGCGAGCACACGCGCCACCAATACGAGGCCAACTGGCAACAGGGCATAGTGGAGCGCGAAAGACAACTGGATAAGATAATCGATGGGTTTCGTCGGGAGGCGACGTGGGGGTCCTCATGGTTAGGATCCCGGCCGGGAATGGGGGTGGGTGGGAACTCGTTCATCCCGTCTTTGTCATCCTACACGTCCTCCTGGTGGCCGTCGTCATCATCGCCATCATCACTCTTTTCAAAATGGCCCTTCTCATCTTTTCCACCTCTCCCCTCGTCACCTAGGTCCAGGAAATGGTGGCAGGTGTCCTGGTCCTGGTCGCGGCCTTCTATTTCGTCCCTGCAGCGGAAGGCCAGAAGGTGGCAGTTGACCTGGTCGTGGCCGTGGTCGTGGAGGTGGAGGAGGAGGCAGACTAGGTGGCCGGCGTGGATGACGGAGTCGCCGTGGGTGCCCGATTGGGATGGACTGGTGAGGAGGTCGAGAGCAAGGTCAGATAGGTGGCTATGGTCTTGAATGTGGTAGGGGTTTGAGTGGTTTGAGTGGCTGGGGCTTGTATGAGCATGTATCTATATATACCTTTTGGGTGTTTTCTTCTCAGCTCACATTCATATACTTTTCGGTTCAAGTATTTGGCTTTGTCTATTTTGTCCTTATTCCTATTCATTTTTCATCTCAAACTTTTCTTTTTCGTTGAACTTCTATTTGTAGATCGTTGTTTAAAGGACGTTTCACTTCTTGCATAGCAATTTTCAACATCAAGGGTGTTGGAATGGACGAAGGTGGTTGGTCGCTAGAAGAACTAGCAAGAAGATGGCTCTCTAATGTACGTGTATAGAAGGTATGAAAATCAGCTTGACAACGCAACTCTCTTGAGGTTTTGTTTTCAAGCATAGACCCTGGAGCCCATGTCTAGGTTTGTGAGCCGGCAAACTGGGGTGACCATCGTGCTCGATGCAAGTATATCATTACTTGTCGCTTCTCTTGCTTTCAAAATCGTGAACCAGCATTAAGCGCAAGTTTACGTGGGTCGAGAACCAATGAAGCCGCCCTTTTCACGACGAAACATTCAGTGGAGATGATGATAGGGACCTTTGAAAGTCCCTGGCAGATCTAAATAAATCTGTGATGACTGAATTCTGACATCAGTTTCAAAATATAGTTTCATGGGCCAATCTTTGTGTCTGTGTTCACAAGATTATGTCATCTGTAGAACTCACACCTTGTCTTAATTCTGCAGAATTGTGCAGTGTGTTCATATTCTTGACAGTTGTAGCATCTTGTCATCTGTGCCTCTTTATGAAAGATCTTCATCTCACTAAACATGCTGCTCATGATCAGCTCATTATCCATCAACAAGTTGATCTGTTTAGAAGTTGCAATATTCATTATCACACTTTCAAACTTTTCTTTCTTTCTATGCTGATAGACTGATATCTTCTGTATATGTACTTAGTTGCAGATTGCACTATTGCGGCTGTAGAATGTCACTATAGTCTTTTTTTCTTCTTCTTTTAGTCTGCTGCATTCATTGGAACACTCTTGGTCAAGACTGTGTAAGACACATTCTTAATCTGAGTCTTTTTTCTCAGCACTTTTAGTCATTTATTGCCATGTATCAGCATCTTCTTGATGTCTGATATGTCCGTGATTAGCACTATGTCTTCACTAGAAAGATATCTAACTGCTATCACTTTCTCTCTCAACTTGTCAGATAGACTGATATTCATATTGATCATAATTGCTGCTGGTTTGACCTTCTTTACTGAGATATTTGCACAGTCTTATCACAACACTGTGATTTTATATAATGTGTGATTTGACACTGTCTTAGCTGATGAATTTGCAGCTATCATAACTGTTCAGAAAGTAGTTTGACATATATTGCTCTCTTTTTCACTGTTTTTCATGCTCATCGTCTTCTTCATCTTTGTCAACAATATCTCTTCAATGTTTCTCTTTAAGCTGTAACAGCAGTACTTTTGTTTGATTCAACATCTTTCTTTCTTTCTTATTTATTTTCTTGTCCCTACTCTCATTGCAAAGAATCTCATTTAGTGTATGTATAACTGCTTCACATTTGATTATTATCTGCTGTGACGGCGTAGAACGAGCTCCGTCCAGAGTACTCGACAGTGTAAGGCCACTGGGCTGAAAAGGGTAATGCAATTGCCTAGTAACGGCATAGCAACACCCCACAGTTACGCTGTAAACAATTACCCTGTAAACAAATACCCCGTAAACACAGGAACCGCCTAGCAGCCGCGCTTAGGAAAGGGGTATATAAACAGAGCCTTCCCCGGACCCGTCTTTCAGGAACCATCTTAGTATTTCGTTGAAGTAGCTTACCTAGTTGGCAATCAAACACCTGTTTACCTGCGCCTAGATCGAAGCCGTGACAGCTGATAGTCATATTTGTATGAGAACTTTGTTTTTGGTTCGGAATGCTGTTGTATAAATCTATTAATTCAACATTCTTTTATAATAGTAGAAGCACTGAATTCACACTTAGCAAGTAGTAGATTGATTATTTCTCAAACAGTCATGATTCAGAGAGACTGTCCTCTCTCATTCATGAAGATTATTCATTGAACTAGAGATTCTTCTTCTGTAGAGATCAGTTTTCAATTTTTCAATTGAGCATTCACATGTGTGATTCAATAGGCTAGGGAGGAATAGAGAACATTATATAACTTAGAAGCGGCTCTAATAGTTAGTTGTAGTTTGTGTTGGAGAATTCCCCGGCTACCCGAGGTCACGTGCATATATATATATATATCTATTAGTTGTAGTTAGCTCGCTTAGAGTCCCACTGAACAACAAGGTTGATAACCGTCCTCTTAGAGTTTGCTTAGCTTTATAAGCTTTAATGACTAACAAAAGCCTGGCTTTCTGATTAGAAGTCTTTTTAGTGAGTGTCATTGACATAACTGAATTTGTGAATGATTTGGATGAAAGTGATCCAGTAGATGATATGATCAGGTAGGTGATTGATTACACTAGTTAACAAGTAGTAAACTATTTAGTAAGACTCTGAAAAAAATTCAGTTGAGAAAAATGCTTTAAGATTTATCTGAAGATATCAGAAAATGAACATCTGAAAATTGAAAGAAGAAAGGAAGAGAAATCAAACCTCAATCAAATGAAAATGAAAATGGTCATAAAAGATATAGGAAAAGCTATAGTTTTTGTATTTGTTTGAGAGTAAAATAGAAAAAAAGCAGAATAATAACAACAACCAAAACCATATATACAAGAAATAAAAGAAAAAAGAGAAAGAAAGTATCAATTCATTTTCATTAAAATACAGTACAAACAGAGAATACAAGAAACATACGAAAACACACACATGCATATAAATTATAAATCCAATTATCTCCCCAGTAATCCCCATTTATTTCCTTTCCTTTCCTAGGCTACCTCCTCCCCTGTTCACTGCACATACCTCGAACTCAAACTCGCAAATATATCCGGACTATGTCGACCATTCTGCATGCCGCCAATATCCACACTCGCCTGACTCATATGTGATCTTGCAGGGAACGGATTTCCAGTTCCTCTCCCCGCAATTCCTACTCCACCACCCCCTCCTCCACCTCCACCTCCCGCAGGTGTATTTCCCATTTGCGATTTCGCGCCCATTACGGCTTGGGAAAGGGGCATGGAAGGTACAGATGTAGTGGCCATGCCATTTGTGATGGGGTTTGGAGGGACGATGTGATATGGGTTCCTGTTCGTGGACTGGGAGGGGTTGAGGAGTGAACTAGGGTTTTGTTGTTGTACGGGGATGCCTGTGGGGGGCTGGGTTTGGAATTGGGGTTGCGTGGGGTCGGCGGTGGAGAGATCAGGGGTTGATTGTTGTAAGGGTTTTTCGGGGATTGTGGGTGGGGGTTGAGAGAAATTGTATAGCGCGAGGATGCTGGTTTTGTCGATTTTGCCCGTTTGTTGGGGGATGGGAAATTGTTGCGTCCCAGGGGTGAATTGAGGTTGGTAGGGTGGCATCGGTGCGACAGCTGAAGTGGCGAAAGGATTATAGGGTCCTTGATGGTCTTGCTGGATGAAATGTTGCTGCAGTTGTTGCGGTTGTTGCGGAGGCGGTACAGGCTGCTGCTGTGGCTGCTCTTGTTGCTGCGAGAATTGGGATCGCAGGGGAAGGATTGGCATGGTGTTGAAACGTTGAAATTGCGGCATTTCAGTTTGATTGGAATTGCCAGGGCTGTAGGCCGAGGCAGGAATTTGCGACTGAGGAACTTGGATTTGACCAGCCGTACTGAAAAATGGATTGGTGGGTGAAAGACTCTGTGACTGGCCCAAATAGGAGTTATTGGTTGTATTTTGCTGCGGAACCTGATCATTTTGGAAGAATGGATTATAATTGTCGTTCATGGGCATTGGCGATGCAGTAAGCACGTTTTGTGGTAACATGGTGACTGGGGGTGTCATAGATTGCTGATATCTCTGCAACGGCAACTGCCCTTGTTGACTCGGGTATCCGCCTGTAGTATTTGGGAATAAAGGCTGTGACACCTGGAGTTGTTGGAAGGACTGGTCTAAAGACAAGGTGGATTGTGATGGAGCGGGTTGCGATAGAGAATCAAAGGGATTGTAGGATGTGCCACCGTTGGCGTTGTGGCGTTGCGGTTCAACCTGACTACCCGCATAGCTAGATCTTGCACGCGACGGAGCAGAATCCAGATTTTCAAATGGATTAGTGGATACGGCGGACTTGGCGCTTTTTGTTGGCTCTGAGAATTGCGAACTCGTAGGTGTCGACTTCGGGACCGGAGCCCGGGTTCTTGGACGAGGATCAACCCCTTCTCCCAGCCTAACCAATGACTCGATAGTTTTATCCATATTCCCATTCATCCCTTTCAGGATCGTCGCATTGCGCTTGTTATCTGGAAATCCCAATTCTCGTAACGCCTCTAGTTTTGACTCGAATGTTCCACCTCTATCAACAACGCTGGCTCCAAAGCTTCTAGATTGTCTGTTTGACGAAAAGGTGTAGTCAACTTGAGGAGATATTTGTTCTGATTGGGCGGAGGTGCTGTAAAAAGGGGCGGACCGCAGACCAAAACCAAACCGCCTTCCCGTTTTTGGAGGTAGAGGTGGAGGCGACTCTACACGTGCTTTCGTGGAGGTGTAGCTGGGGTCATGTCGGCTGGGGGGCTTTGGTCGTCCATCCTCCAATACCTTCGATTCATATTTTTGGCGGATGAACCTCTCCATTGCAGAGTCAGCCTCGTCTACATCAATTGGGATAGGAGGTTTGACGTTTCTCGGGTTGTATATTTTGTTCACAACGAGGTTGCCATTTTTTCTCATATTCTTCGGTCAAAATATTAGCATCTGGGATGTGTTATAGCATTCTCAACGGTCACCAGCATTGTCACCTGGGCCAACTCACATCCACCTGATCTGATGACCAGCTATCCATGCTCAACGATTTCACCTTTGATATATGCGTGCCCAACTTGCGGTGCAGCGCAGCGCATCGCATGCACAGGAACACGCCCAGCTACCAAAACAAGAACGTTAGATATTAAGATTTATCAATGTAGCAGGCCGAATTTTATACCCCAGCTCTTGGCACAGAGAATAATTGAGATGTTCCAGAACACAACTCGCCGGTATACAGGAATATCAAGAGGAAATAACAAAGGTGGAAGGATGAAACTCACATTCCAGCTAGCCCATCCTATGTAGAACAGAAAGCGCTTAGCATGAGTAAAGAAGATCTTACCGGGGGGCAGTGCTGTGAGGGGAGGAGACATACCTGGATTCCTCGCTTGACAGTCAACACACCGCTCATTGCCGGGAACCGTTGTAATCAATTCCTGCAGGGCTCTCTCATTGCGTGCCTGTTGGCGTTTACTCAGAGCTGAAGTCATGTTTGCAGGACGGCTAATTTTCTGGCTGGTAGGTTGGCTGAGGGGGGAGATGGGGTTAAAGTTCTGAGAGTAACGGATGCGGTCGACAGATTATTCGTCTTACGAGAATTTTCGTGGGAGAAGAAGGCAGAAATGATAAAGGACGGAGAGATTGTCTGTCTGTCTTGCAGAAACTGCACGGGTCTGCAATCCCTGGCTAGCTTGGTAATTACTCCTATCTCGCGGGTGTCTCACGATGAGATTAGTGAGCGTGGGAGAGGGAGAGGGGGAGAGTGAACATCAAAATGGGGGAACACATTTAACACCAGTGTAAAGCAACGGTAATTTGTTCCTCGACAGAGAGAATGAGAGGGAGAGAGAGAGGGGTTCAGGGAGATAGAGCGTCGTGGTGGTGGTAAAGAAGTGGTCTGTAGTCGTGAGGCGGTGGTGCTGATGGTGGAGATGACAGCATTATTAAGTGCGGCTAAAAGCGATCTCGACTTTCTCCCTAAGGCGTTTTGGTGACGTTAACCAACACACCCCCTCAGAAAAACTATTCCAGCATTTCAACCCAGCTTCAGCCACTACCAACATACCTGGCTGGTGAACACCAACAATAGGTTGATTGCGTGAACTCACTGAGCTACGGCGTCTGTATGTGCATGAAGAAACATGCCGATCCCAGCTTGAATCCTCCTTTTCCTTAAAGAAAAATTGTTCCTTGCTAACAGTTCGGCTCTAACAGTTTTCCAGAACTACTTGGGTTTAACTAAAGCTAGTCCAGGAACTAGTTTTGACAGCTTGGATCCCAGCAACAGATCAAGGAAGCCAGCAAACAGAACCATGGAACTCGCATCACAAGTGACTTCCATGGATATTCCATATTTTATTCCACAACGCTGGATAAGGTTCACAAATGCTTGCGACTGGAAAGTTACGGCTGTGCGGCTGTTCATTCAGAACACGGGAACTATATTTACATTATATGTACGATCCAACACCTCGAAGTTAACGCCACTATCGAGACAGGTCCCGCGCAATCAGGCTTTATTAATAATCATCAGGGCATGCGACTTACATCTCTATCTCCTGCCACCTTTTCTACAAGGACGCACTCAGTGTATTATTCGGAACTGTCAATTCCTAATTGTGCCCTTTCATCGCCAGAGATGGAAACATCTCTGACTCCGAAGAGGCTTTCCCAGCCAAGTAAGCATGGATACTTTTGAACTTCTCCCTTCTGATGTATCATTCTATCTTTCTTCAGCATTAGGTCGTCATCTATTCATAGAAACATAGGACATCAGTGGGAAAGCCTTGGAATCTCAAGTGACAAGTAGTTGGCCAGATTGGAGTGAGTTTATCTCTCGTTGACCGTTGATGATTGAAAAACTATTAAAAACCCATTTCGCACTGAGAAAGGATGTAACTTTTCATGATCATTTTTCTAATCTGAGAAGCTCTTTATAACAGGTCACTATTTTAACCAAATCCCCAAATCTCCCATTTCACTTTCCAGCTATACACGGATCGAACACATATATTTTACACGTATTTTCTTCGCAATCTCAGAAAATGACGACTAAGCCCGACCGCCCAGTATTGGAGCTGCTTCAGGCTGAAGCTTGTGACGATGATCAAAGCTTCTTCCACATCCCAGTTGGCAATCGATATGTCAAATATCTCTCTATCAACCCAGGTCCGTACACACTGGAAGACATGTGCTTTGGGACCGTTCTAGCTAGCATTCTTCCAGACGTCCCTCATGGAAATCAAAAACGACGGCTTAGTGGGTCGTCCTTACTCTGAACGGGCTTGTTCCGACTGACTTTCCCAGTGTGAAAAACCAATGGCACAAAACCTTCATCGATTACTCAGACAGAGTGATAGGCCAGAGAATCCATACGGGTATCTATGAAGTTACATGCCCGTCATCACCAAATTCGCGCGACTCGAATGGGAGATCCAGTATATGTAGAACAAAACAACCGCTTGATCATGGCTGATTGACAGCCCTGACATCGCTCCACGGTTTCTCGGGCACTTGACTGGACATGGCCGGGTGACTGGGTTCTTGGTGGAATGCATCACCAATGAAAGTCACATGGAGTAGAGGATCTCAATGCCTGTCAGGAAACATTGTCTCAATTCCACAAGTTAGAGATTAATCACGACAATGTCAATGAATTCAAATTTCTCGTTCGCGGATCGAAGGCTGTTTTGATCGATTTTGATACAACCCGCAAATGTGAGGACCGGGATTCCCTGGGGGGGTGGGGGGTGTTTGAGAGCTTGCCGGGGTATCTCGCGAGTGAATCTACCAAAGGAGGGTGAGGAGCACTTCCTCGCGACAAAACACCTGAAGAAGTCGTATAAACATGTTGTTGTAGGCGGGTCGAGTGGGTTGAATATCAACGCTTTTCACTGGTAGCTGCGTCGTGTCGCTTGATGATCAATCTTGTTTTTCCAGTATTGGGTCGCTGGCCCGTGGCCTGAGATCTTCTGCTCTCCATTAGTTAAAAGAAGTAATTTTTCTTTTAGAAGATCAATCTCGATATATTTCTGGCTTCCGCCCTGGCTAGAAGTTGTACATGTACACACATAACTGAATGCCATGGAAATATGTAATGCTGAGAGTCAATTTTTTAGTTGGAATGTATTCACCCACTACGGAAATCATCGCAGAAAAGACACACTTTTCTCTAGATCGGCACCAGAGACGCCCCGAGCTGAAAATAGAAAATTTTGAGGTATATCTTCGCATAGAGGCCTATTTAATTAACCTTATTGAAAACTGAAGTTGTCAAGCATGCTTGTCATGATTGGGGTACAGGAAAACAGAAGTTCAGGAGCCAAAACTGATGCGTCAATTGACTTTTTTTGAGATCGTGTAATTTATACAGAGTCCTTTCACAATCAGGAAATATACAGTGGCTGAGGGCTTCACTGCCACTTGTCTACCAAAGGACACCTTGGCTCTACTCCGTACAAACTACGACTTCAGTCTTGTCTCGCTCGTCATCATCACTATCATCTACTCCGTAGAGCAACTGCAAAAGTCGATCGAAGAAGAAAACGCGCCTACCCCAGTGATCAACTAAATGGAAGAGCCATAACTCCACGTTCGCGTTGAAACATCGAACGATCATTGTTAACTGCGCGAGATGGGGCAGGGAAAAAGGTAAACCCAAGCGATAAGGTCACTCCGTCTCCACCAAGCCCCACCAAACCACCGTAACTAGCGGACATGACCGCGGGGCGCGGCAACAAGGATGAATAGTCGAACGCATCCATCGCCTTCAAAGGGCGACGGTTGTCATGATGAAAGCAAGCAAGCAACAGGCAGGGCAAAAAGGGTGATAGGGCGCCAGTCAAAGAGAATATTCATTTGATTTAGGTTCTCTTTTTGATTTTTGAATTTTTCTTTTCTTTTTCTTTTTCTTTTCCTTTTCCTTTTCCTCTTTTTTTTTTTTTTTTTTTTTTTTTTTTTTTTTTTTTTTGGATTGAGGGCCCTCTTAAATATTTTCTTCCGCTTTAACTTCCTCCTCTCCCCCTCATTAATTTCCTCGTCCTTGGTTCTCTTTTTACCCCATCATGGGATTCATTTTTGCCTTGTCTAACACTAGGTACCTAACCTAACCACATCTATGTCTGGCCCTTTCTGGCTTTTTCCTTTCCTTTCCAGTTCTCATTTCTCATTTCTTCTTCTCATATTATCCTCCTGATTGCTGGGGGTGATTGTCCACTTAACACAACATGCATGTCAAGCTTAATCTGCACTAATCTTACACATGAATATTTGCTCTAAAATCTCTTCTTTTTTCCCCCCATTCTTTCAAAAATCAGCTTTTCTATCTTATTATTTCTCTTATCATTACTGATGATAGAGCATGATGTTCAGTGAAAATTTTCTTGTCAGTTGTTAGAGGGTTTTTATTCTTTCATCAACATCATCATCATTCTCAATCAAGACAGAAGGTTATTTCGTTGCAAAGATCAGATTAATCCACTCAGGGGCATTAATCTTGACAGGATCACATTTTATGAAACATCTCCAGACCATCCTCTTGAGGTCTTCATTATGCTAACTTTTTCAGACAGATCCACAGCTGTGTTTAGATTGCAATTTGTTCCATTTTATTTTCACTCACACCAACATGGGGTGGCTAGTTCTAGGTGGGTGGGCCTCCTCAGGTAATCATCACCAGATACTGTTGAACTGTGTGTTTTCCCTTTCTTCTTGACAGCCTCAGGTAGGTATGCGTATGTTGGTATATATGTTGTGACCCTTTCAGACGAGGAGGATTTTGGGAGTTTCGAGTTCAAGTGGAACTCCTCATATTAACAACCCTTTCCTTGCAGACAAATACAGATGTCCTTAGGATGGTGTTGCATGCCTACTTTAAGTATGTATGTACAGGACCAAGAGCGTCAACAAGGCTGGCAACAGGCAGCATATGTTGTTGTTGAAGGCCAAGCAGTTCAGCAGCAATTATTGCACCCCATCCCATGGCATCTCACCTTATGCCATCCAAGCTATGCTAAGAATGCCAGTGGTGAACGCCAAAAGCGACAACATTTCCCCTTCTTTTGAGGCTGCGGCTACTACTGACTGACTTGCTGACTAGCAGGCCTATGCAGAACATACCTTTTCTCTGACAAAGTGTTGAGCACGCAGCGTAGAATATATCGCTATCCCTCTCCCCACCCTCCCGCATACTCCTACTTCATTTATTTACTCATTCCACCCCACCCTTCTTTCACTTTCTCTCTCCCTCTCTCCCTCTCTCCCTCTCTCCCTCTCTCCCTCTCCCCCTCTCTCCCTCTCTCCCTCTCTCCCTCTCTCTCCCCCCTTTCTCCTCGTATTATCTGTCGACTACACCAGTGCTGATGCCGTGGTACGCTAGCCGGAAACGGCCTAGCGCCTGTAGCCACAGGCCTCCGCGCTATTCCGTTCTCGGCCTAGCACGGGCGTCCTCCCTCGCTCCTTCGCTCTTTCCCTCTCTGCCCTCTCGCTGTTTTCCCTCATTCCTCGTTTTTCTCTTGTTTCTTGTTCTTTCTGCTATCTTCAACTTCCTCAACCTCAACCTCCACTTCATCTCTTCCATTATCCTCTCGTCTCGTGTTGCTTTTCCCCTCTGCCTCTCATACTTTCTCGTTCTCTTAGGTTTTCTCGCCCATGTTCCTCTTGCTGGGACTTTCCACGGCTCCCGCCTCCGCTTAGCCATCCTTCTCTCCCTCTTCCCTTTCCTCTCTCCATTCTTCTTCCTCATATCCGCCTCTTCCATCCTCCTTTCATTTCAAATAGTCGACTATCCCATCGTCATCCACCCCACCGACTCCTCCGCCTCGATTTCGTCGTCTCTTTCGTATGCGCTTCATCAAGCTTCATCAGCACCACAAACAGCACAACAAATACCAACAACAATACCACACCCATCCGTTATTCATCGTCATCGTTGCGAGCGTTGCTCAAACGACTGCCCTATCGATTTCATCTCGTGTCCTCTAGATTCTGACCTCCATATTTCCTCTTCCATGCTAAGGTGTCAAAATCTGTTAACAATTCATAATCCCACCCTTCGAACACATTATTTTCTCGCATTGCCACACCGCTTGATCTGTGATATTCTCTGTTGGTCTTGCAGCCCTTCTCGTTCTCGCATAGTGTTCATGTTCTTCTAGTTGATGACTTCTTCGGTCAGAACGAACACAATCCAACAGGAAAAGTTTTGCGCGCGTCCCTTGAAGAAACAAACGACTCACTCCTCATCTCCCCTCTCATCTTAATTCATCAACTCGACAGAGTTTATCGGATCGAAAGGTCTCGAACTAAGAGATAACATCGTGTTTTAGAGAAGGTACACTGTCAGATTATGACAGATACCTTCTCTCTAGCCGCAACGACGCATTCCACAGCAAACCCTCTTTCGGTCACCGTTCACCCGCTCCCCTCTCCTCTACCAAATGGTAATGTCGCCCAGTCTGTCCAGGAAGACGATGACGAGCCCTATACCATCAAGTGCATCTGTGCCTTCGAGGACGATGATGGCCACACCGTTTTCTGTGAACGTTGTGAAACTTGGCAACACATCTTATGCTACTACGGCGGTGATGAAGTCCCCGAAGTTCACAACTGCACAGATTGCGAGCCAAGACCTCTTGATTCGAACCTCGCCACAGAACTGCAGAAAAGGTGCCGAGAGGAACAGAGCGATGGCGGTGACCGAAAGACCAAGAGATCCGGCTCGAAATCCCAAAGGAAGAAGACAAAGGACTCCCATACGAGCGGCGATCAAACCAACGGCTGGTCTCATGAGAGAAGCGGCTCGAACTCGAGAGACAACAACCACCACCCTCCAATAAAGAAATCGAAGTCTAGCCATCGCGCTTCAAACTCTATAAGTGCTCTTACCGGTCTTCTTCCTTCACAATCAGGTCCAGACAATCGGAAGCGAGCGACATCCGTGTCGGCTATGAGCCCTACCAAAGCATCCCTTATACCCAGTATTCCCCTCTACTCCCAGGAATTCCTTCACCTTTACGATAATGACCATGCGAATGTGGATATTCCCAGCAATCTGTTCGACAATCTTAAACTGGCAACCGATCTTTCATCTTGGGTTCAGGATCCCGTAAACCTTGCTCTCGTTGCAAACGGTCGCTCTTCAAATGATGTTTTTACTTACCTAGACCGTCCTCTTGACCCTACTCAGTGGCCACTCCTCTCGAAACAAACCGTTACAGACACTACTGTGGAATACAATGGAAGGCACCCTACGTGGCAGTTTCTGACCGTGGAGAACGAT